GTAATCTTTTGCAGAAAAGTCCGTAGTAAATAAACGCTAATGAAATATTCTATAAAAGGTCTTCTCTTTACATAAAATGTCGTGGCATCTGTTTGATATTAAAAAATCACGTTAATTTTATTTCATAATACAAAATTCGATTAAACACCTTTTAAATAAACCTAATAGTTCATTAAGATGCTAATAAACAAAGTCCGGTCCCTGTCACAGAGTTCGGGTCGCCGCGTGTCGCCGCCCAGTTCCCCCACTCCGTTAACCCTTCTTTAGAAATTGGCAACATTTGCGCAGGATTAAAACCGGTGTATGTTATATCTCTGGTCTCTTTTATCTAAGAATAAAGTATAGAGACGACATACACACTATTTTGCGACATGACAGATGGACGCACTTCGAAAGACGGAAATGTGTAATGGAAATGGCGACATGAGTCGTAATTTGATTTATTTGACGGAATGAAAATGATTTTATATCATTTAAATAAAGCTATTTCCATTTAAGTTTACAGCAAGGGTTTGAGTTTTACAAAGTATATAAATTTATAAACCTATGTAATAGTAGAGCTATATAAAAATAAAAACAAAATAATATATAATTATAACTAAATAACTAAATCATTTTCCAGGTAATAATGCGAAAATCCTCTCACTCATTACAAGCTTCCTACAACGTATACAGATGGATAACAATGATTTATTCAGGATACAAACATCAAATAATAACAAAAAGAATCTATATATAAATAAAAGAGGTAGTTTTTCCAGGGGCGGCTCAAGCACAGCCCTAGGCACACCACTGATTTTTATATGCGTTTTTTGTACAATAACTCCTGATATAATCTTAGTTTTGTTGATATGTTAAGTCCAGGACGGACGAATTGCTCTATAAATTCAGTTAAAAAATTGTAAATAGCTCGTTAAATAAGAAAGATACAAAGTTCATTTCATTATAAAAAAAAAAAATTAAAAATTCACAATTCTTTTTGATTTTAAGATCGATAAAGCAAGTTTCTTTATGTCAAAAAAAATACGGGGGGTTAAAAGGTACCCAACCCCCCAACTTTTTTTAAAGGGGTCGCTTTAATTTTTTTTTTCTTAGAATATTGGGCCTTCAAATCTACAGTACTGGCAAAAATTTCGAAGAAAAAATCGCAACAGCAAACTTTTTATATAAAAAAAAGTTTTTCTGAATGTTAGTTTAACACCCTGTAACTTTGTTGGGAGCCAGTTTTTGATATAGGTAAATATAGCCAAATCCACTTATTTTTTGGTAATCTATCTGAGGATGAATTTATGACATACCTTTTTGAAACACCCTGTATAACTCGCTATTATTTTGGCATTGTCAGTTGTCAACTTATCCAGAACAGAAATTAATGAATCTGTCTCGTAAAAAAGGAAATTGTGGTTTCATAACTGTATATATTGGGCAATCAAAAAGCAAGTGGTTAAGAGTTTCATATTCATTCATGTTACATACGGTGCATAATTCATCAGGACTAATAGAATAGTAGCTGCCTTTTAGTGTAAAATAATGTTTAAAACCGTTACACATTCAAAGTTGAGCAATAGTGCGTGTGACCTAGTATTAATTATGATCATTTTAATATTAATACTTTTCGAGGTTATGTGCTCTGACCATGGCCCCCTGCATAGGTGTGGCTGGGTGGACCTCTTGGTCCAGGGCTTGCTCTACGCAATTCATTTTTTAATTATTTCATTTTATTACAATCTAGTGTAAAATATTTTTAATACTGTTTTATACATTGAAATTTTAGAAGATTGTACAGGTAATGTTACAAAACTGAATCATGATGATGTTCTGACATTTTTTCGAAACGTTCAGTTTTAATTTTTGTTCCCTAACAGCCTTGATCGTTGGGAATATTGTTAAAATAGCATGAATAGATACCCAAAGTTTGTTCTGGCCCATGGTACCTTAACTAACCACGAGATGACGCCATCTGCCATTGTTGAGAATTGAAACTTGGATAAGTTGTTTGCGACTCGGCTAAGCGATCCAAGATGGCGGCCATCGTTTACGTGAACGAGTATTCACGATTCAAATTAATTTTCGGGCGCATGTCATTTGTCACCTATAAGTAGCATGTTTGTTTATTTACATGTGTTTGTTTTGGACAGACTTTGTATTTGTGATTTTTTAACTGTTTTTAGATAACATTCTCATTGTAATAGTGTTTTTGAGTTTCATTTAGTGTTAATTTAAGTTTAAGTCTCGTGCTTTCGTCATAAATATAATATTTATCATGTGTATGATTTAATTTGTTGGAAATATTAACCTATTGGTTGCTAAAAGAACATCTAGAAATATGTATTTACTAAACCCAGGACATGTTTTATTGTGTGGTTTTAAAGGACATTTCAGGTACCAAACGTTTATTATTGATGAACTTATTTAAACATCACTAGACTTATTTTTATATTATGAAGTGAATTATGTAGTACTTTGTATACATGTAAATGGTAATAAAACCGTCACAAATCAGATTACAGTTTAATTCTAAACAAAGTTTTTCAAAATTTCAATATTGTGAATTTGTAGATATCCATTTATCGTAAAAAAAAAACAAAATTATACGACTTGCCCTTGGAAAATAATGAATACTTTAGTTTTGGTTTTGACATTAACACCATATAGATTACAATTTGCTGGGGACTTTTTCGCAGATTTCATTTTTAATATAAACACTATCACATACTATAAGAAATAAATAAATTTAAAGCTAAAAGTAAGAAAAAACTTGAATGTAATTGATACAAATTAAAATGTAAACAATGAACACGAACTCCAATGTTGTCAAATGATGAACTGATTTTAAAACAAAATTAATAAATGAACTGAAATTTTAAAAAAATCAATAAAATAAATCGGTTTTATAAAAAAATCCTTAACTAAATATAGAGTATGATTACATATTACTATACACAAATTTTGATTCTTAAATAAAAGGTCTTCTTCTTCAAGAGCTAAAATCCGACGACGTAGCGAAATTTTGCTACTTCTGGCAACACTGAACGATATCCTACTTATAGGGACCTTCTACAAATTTCCTCCAGAGGGCGTATCACTTAGCTTGAATCGTGAATAGGTAAACGTTAAAGAGAATAATCAGGCGCAGTGTCAATGCCAAAAGGGCATTAACGTATGTCTTCACTGTTATTGGTCCGACTCAAACGGGAAAAACGAAGGAGTGCGGGAAAGTACATGTAGATTAATGTTGATGAAAAAATCATGCACAGTAGCAAAACCGAAAGGACATTAATGTATATATTTATTCTTATTGGTCCGAGTTAAACAGGAAAAACGGCACTATGAAGGAAAACTGATGTAGATTAACGTTGAGGAGAAAAATCAAGGCGCAGTAGCAGAGCCAAAAGGACATTTTCGAATCGAATGAAAAAAAAAAAACGAGGTAGTGGGGCGAAAATTACATGTAGATTAACGTCTTTTTAAAGCCTTTCTCAAACTCGTTAAAGTGAAAGACTGTGAAGCATTATCCTTTTCGATCCTCAAAGCTTTAAACCTGATGATCATGGAGGATTAAATTAAATTAATTATAAAGAATAAGTTTTTTTCATTTTATCAGTAGATAGCATGAATTTTCACTCAAATCAATGTAGTGAAATATTGAAAATATTATCACATGATTTAGGGTATCGAATGCCGGAGAAGCTGGCCGCGAGATTGGTGTAGGTACATTCATATACTCGCAACAGACAAGCAGTCATTCTCCGGTCACGTCGTGGATGTCTAGCGGCTGGACGGTCCACCGACTAGTGACGTGGAATGAATGTATTGTGACGCGAAAGCCGTCTTTGTTCCTTGCCCGCGATATTAAGTCCACCGCTGGCCATATAGAGACAAACGCACCGTTTCGAGAAACTACCAGAGTGATTCCTTTGCGGCGTATGAGTCATAGAAAGGCAGTTCTCGATCGTTGTGGAAAACAGAGTGTTCTAGCACAGAGCTGGCTTTATATAAATAGCGCGAGTTTGTCGACGGACGGGGAGATTCAAATGAAGTGTTTGACAGTAAAGTCAAATTGTAATAAATAAATTAGAATTGTGAGTGTCTAAATATTATATAAATTAATTAGTACGGTATAAATAAATTGTAAATAAATAAACTATAAATAAAATTAACAAACGTTACAGTATGATCAATAGGGAGGAGTAGGGCATCTAAGTGATGGCACAATAAGAACCATAAAAGGAAGAAAATCAGGCCGGATCCCAAGCCTGATTGAGAGGAGCCAGTGGCTGAACCCAAGCCTAGGGGGAGTCTACCGGAAACCCTCAGGCGGGAGCAAAGGGATGCCTAAAACATTATTATCTAAAGATTATACTTATGTCATCTGTTACAAAAGTAAGGGATGTTGTGTAACTGTATCCGCTTCTAATCACTGATTGATTTAATGGCAAGATATTTAATTCGTTGACATAAGAGGAAATGCGCTCTTCTAAAACCTTTTCAAACATTGTGGAAAGAATACTAATGCTTCTTAGATGCAAAAATTGTATAAGGCTAAATATAGAGTATATTTTACAGTTGGTATTACATTATTTTTGTAGTATTCTAAAATTCATCTGGTTTACGATCATCACTGGATTCAAAATAAAAAAAGCAATGAAATAATTCTTATATTACTCCCAATGGGCTTTGGAAGTTTCCATTGTTCAAAATTTTTTAATGCTTTGCCCCTAAGTTTTTGTAATATCGGTTATCTAGGGTTGATTTTTGAACTGTACATTTGATTGCATTGTTTTAGAGGTGAAATAACAGACTACCAAGCTAAATGTGCAGCAGGTGATGCGCAAACTTCCCATTTAATACCAAAATAAATAGCTAATATTAAATAAGTTATGCCTATACTACTTTCACTAACAAAAAACAGTAATACAATATTTCCTGTCATCTTATTTTTCTTTATAAATACTCACTTGTTGATTAAATATGTTGGAAATATATAAAATAATGCTTACCGATTCTAAAAATCAGCATTCTTCTTCCCAAATGGTCTCTATTTGGAGGCACGTTAAAAATTGGTTCTTTTACTATTTCTACCATTCTGTCTAAATTTACGTCATCGAAATATTGAGGCGCCTCTTCTTTAAGAATACTGTGATTCACATACTGTAATTGAATTGTGTTACCATTCAATATATTCATAAATAAATTAAAAAGTAAATAAAAAAAAAATACTTACTAGTCGATGAGCTATCCTCAAATTAAAATGGCGGGCTCTTAAGAAGCCTAAAATGAATTCATCGTCCATTCTACTAGGAGTACATTCTCCTCTTTCTGAAATAAATATATACAGATCATAGTACTACAATATTTTTTCATTAATTTGTGTTTTTAAAGAACTTCAATGGTTATTTACCGAACAAGTGTATTAATAAGGGCGATTAACAATCGAGATAATTTAACGCGCGAGCAGAACGAGCGCGTTAATGTTCGATATTGTTAATCGCCATTTCAATTCACGAGTTCGTTATGGAATTTTTCCGTCGACCGTACCTACTTTTCAAAGCTAAAGATATCTTATTTTCAATTTTTATTTATTTTACGAAAAACAAATTTCAAATATATTTGTATGTTTGGTTGCATACACTATAGGTAACTGTCAATATAAATGTATAATAAGAGCAATGTACGTTGGGTTGCATATAATAAAATCGTTGATTAATAGAAAATCATTCATTAATAGGGGTCATTAATCAAAGATTTTGAGTGCGTTAAAATACATCATAAATGGTCGTCGACACGAAATAGTGAGGAACAGCCATTACCCGCGAGTAGAATACTATGCTTTTTTCATAACTGTTTAATAATTGATATCGCAAAATTGACTATTTTGACAGCTAGAGCGACAAAGTGAAAGTGAAGTTGACGTATGTTGCCAACAGTGTTGCCAGGCAGGTTTCATGTCGAATTTTCTGATTGGTTCTTAAATAGTTTAGTAATGACATTAGATTTTTTCGTTTGTTGAAAATAGTTAAGTAATGAAAGAAATTTTTAAGTAATGAAAAAACTCACTGTATGAGTAACCACTTACATTAATCAATAATGTATAATACGTATATTGTTAAATAGTCATTAAAAACATGTTTTCTTGATCTTATATAGTCCTTCCAATATCAATTGCAGAACACAGTTATGTGGGGAATCATCAATATTTAATATATACGCACGGTACTCATGCCAAATTTAGAAACGAAAAATAATGTTTACTCCCCTTATACAATGCGGTAAATATTAAAGGAACGGTCAGTCAACGTGTACTTGATATATATGTGTCAAAATCCATCATCTCCGTTGTTAACCAATGAAAACATCGAATCGTAAACTTAAATGCACTGTATTGGCCGAAGGTTTACGAAGGGGAGGAGTGTTCGAAAATATTCCTGGAAGACAGTCTGCGATATCAGTGGAGTACTGTCGTGCGGTGTGTTTTGTATGTGTGGTTGGTTTAATTTAAATTTCTTTTAATAAATATAAATATGACGTTCTTTAGACCGTGGGCGAATGAAGAAAATTAAATTGCACAATGTAGTGAGATTAAAGACAGGTATGACTTTAACAATAAGGATTTAGATATACAAACACAACAAGTTATTTTAAATATATTCGAATGTTTAAAAAAGGAAAATATTCAGCAGTCTGATAATGCGATCATAATAAGAATTGCTGAATTAACTAAAGTAAATAAATTTTCCATTTATCGGGTAGTCACAAAAGGGGTTGCTGTGGATCATTCACAAAACCGAAAAACATGTAAAGAAAAACTGAAATCAGTTGACAGAGCTACCCAAGATTTTATAAGAAGGACAATTTATAGTTTATATAAGGAGAACAGGGTTCCAACATTGGAAGTAATACAGCAAAAGGTAGCAGATTTTCCAGGATACACTTATACCAGTTTGGAAACATCGCGTCAAGTTTTGTCAGCATGTGGTTTTAAACACAAAAAAATAAATAAACGGATGGCAATCACCGAATCGTCAAGGATAGTTCAATGACGACAAGATTATTTGCGTCAGATAAAAGAGTACAGAAGTTCTAATAGACACATAATTTATCTAGATGAAACATGGGTTGACAGTCACGATGTAGTAAATTTCGGTTGGGTTGACAGTAGTAAAAATTGCTGTTTGAATGGGCCATGTTCTAAAGGGAAACGTATTATAATAGTACACGCTGGAAGCAAAGACGGTTTCGTGCCTAATGCTTTCATATTATCTGTTAAACAAACTAAAAACTGTGCAGCTGATTATCATGAAGATATGACAGCAAAATTATTTGAAAAATGGTTTAATGAACAGCTCTTACCTAACATTCCACCAGTCAGTAATCGTTATGGACAACGCATCCTACCACTCACGGCAACTCCTTAAAATACCAAATAGTAGCAGTAACAAAGCTCAAATTTTAGCGTTTATGTCTGAATAAAATATTCCTATTCCTGCCAGTGATCGTAAAAAAGGCCCAACAAACAAAGAATTGCTTACTGTTATTAAAGGCATGAAGTTGGAAAAAATTTATTATATTGACAAGCTGTGCAAAGAACAGGGTCATACTTTTCTCAGATTACCTCCTTACTATTGCATATTTAACCCTATAGAGTTAATATGGGCAAACGTAAAATCAGAATTACGAAAATGTAATCAGTCTCCAGAACTGAGTAAAGAGGTTGTAGAACTCGTAAAGAAAGTTCTAGCAGCAGACCGCCAAGAGCTTTGGAAAAAAATTGCGTCGAACATGTTATTAAAGAAGATGAGTATGTAGTATTACCCTCTTTACAACCCATCATAATTCAACCAAATGATGACTCTAGTTCAAAGGATTCAACTGCCATGATTATTTATAAATATACTTTAGAATTGAACTGTTTTTTCTTTTGTTTTATTTGCAAAGAATTTATTTTCCTTTATGGTTTTTGCTTTGAAATTTCGTTTTCCAGAAAAAAAAACGAATGGGGTACAAAAACGGCTCAGTTCACGTCTGGTACCCTGTTTAAACCAAACGCCCTTACTGGCAGGTACACTTTACTCGCTTTTTTACGTTTTATAATTTAATATTCAGTTGTAGCTAATTAACGAGCTATAATGATTTTTTTTAAGTCCAAGTAAGACTACAATTAAGTGCATCTGTCTAAATCAAGGCGTATAATATCGTCCAATTTATAATGATTCGATTTCCTTTTAACGAATACTTTCTTGCATATGATTTATATTAAAAGTATTTATAAAATAAATTTATAAAATGAGGTAGCTATCTACGCCTATGGCAGATCAAACAAAATTGTCGGTAAAGGTTCCGAACGAGTTTTTATGTTCTCCAATTGATAATGGAAGAACTATAACTGTGTCAGTTTTCCTGATAATGATCGACACATGATTGGCAGAGTTGGTAAGGCAGCGCTTTAAATGTGGATAGAGGGTTTGAATAGAAAGTTGAAGTGATGCTATGAACGTAAACGTATACGTGAAAATTGACATCTACGCATGCGCATTCAAATATCCTTCACGTTCACGTCTTCGTACATACGTAAGCTTGCGGGCTCTGGCGTATGCACGTAACGCAACTCTTTTTAATTAGGAAAGAAGAAATCCTAATAATAATTGTCATTATCTGTCATGACACGTAAATGTCACGACGCGTTTAACAACTTCAACTCTTATTTTGGACTAGACCGTAACCATTATTTTTGTGTGTTGACGTTCACGTTTACGTTAACGTACTAGAAATACTTCAACTCTCTATTACTTGCCGATAGAGAATTTGTTCAATACCTTTGTGACTTTAGAGGTTCAAAAATAGTTTTCGATATTTCTTGGAAGTAATTTTGAAAAAATGATTTATGAATTTTTGAAGAATTTATATTTTTATTTGTTTTTTATCAAGTATTTATATTTTTAAAGCTTATACTGACTTGGAAATTTTCGTTAAAAATAATGATCTTACCGTAAATCATATCTTTCAGTTCTGAAATTAGCAAATCTCTTGTGTCTGGATCTTCGTTTATATTATTTTTAGCCCATTCCAAAAGTTCTTCTGACGGTTCTTCAATGTTCACCTTGGCTTTGATGCGGTTCTGTTTTTCGTGCTCAACTTCATTTTCAGCCATACTAAAAATACATTAACAAATATTTAGGAATAGAATATATTAATATTAAAAAAAATTAAATGTCTTTAAATAGTGAGATCCACTCCTTTTGAAGAATCCCACAAGGGGGAATTTATTTTTCAATATAAACTAAAATACACATGTATTAATAAATGTTTTCTTAAAAATATTTCGAATGCCACTATTTTTAATATGACTAGGCAATTTATTGTATAATCTGGGACTCCTATAGTTTTGGTGATCGAAAAGCAGTTAGGTAACGTGTGGAGGGGGGGGGGGGAAATAACCAGGACTTATGCCTCAGTAGGTCCATTGTGCATCCTCCTAATGCAGTTTCTAGCTTACAGATTTGATGTAGTTGTCAAGTCACCAAGAGGTGCTTCTCTTAAGACGCGTCCTTATTATGTGGATGTAAGCCAAGTGGCAATTCCAAATGGAGGATATTAATATTCTAGTAGGTAAATTAGTGATGGCGGCAAATTCAAAATAATAAATAATATAAAAAGTTCTTTATTATAATTATTATTATGGCTGGAATTTATTTTCTTTCTTTTGACTAGACGATGATCAGACCGTTTTTCTGAAAATATATTTTTTAGTGTGGGTGGAAAAAACGGGCAGTTCTTATTTTTAAAAAGCTAGGGTGGAGAAAGCAGGAATGTTCTGATTTTGTGATTTTTGTAGATTTTTGGATTTGGCAATACTGCATGAGTTTATATTCTTTTTGTGGGATCACTCGAAACAACTTCTGTGTAATAAACCAATACATACAATTGAATATCAATAAAATATTCCTTTGGATAACACTGGCCAACAAAATTATACTTTTTGACTGATGAATGACATATGTCACATGGTGTTTACTAATTTTAAGTCGCTGATTCTAAATATATCCCCACTTTTTTTCTTTAATGGCCGGTAAAACCCAATTTCAGAATTCTTAAGAAATTATTTTAGGGGAAGGTTTAGTAAGACAATAGTGAAATTATCTTTCTTGTTTGAATTATTGTTTTATTTTGTAATTTGATATGGCATCGTCAAGAAGAGTATGTATGAATGATTCAAACAATTTTTGTTTCATTTGCGGAGAGTATGTATTTAAAGAATACCGTTAAAATGTGACAACGTTCGTAAACGAGGCTTACAAAAATTACTTCGGGCACCCGCTGGAACTGAAGAATAAGCCTTGGATTCCGCAAAAGGTATGCAAAACATGCGTTGAGTTCCTACGTTTATGGACAAATAAGAAAAGACATAGCTTCAGGTACAAAACCGCTATGATTTGGAATGAACCCATGAACCACCATGACGATTGTTATTTTTATTTGGTGAACATAACTGGTATTAACCGAAAACATCGAGCCAAATGGGAATATCCTTCCATACAATCGGTACATAGACGTGTCCTGAGCCCTAAGTCTACACTTGAACCTCAATCTGGTACTTTATAGGAAGAGCCAGAAGATTTTGAGACGAAAAACGAGAGAAGTGATAGTGACTTTGAATGCGACTTGGGAACGCCAAAACTATTCAATCAAGATGATTCAAACGACTTAATGAAGATCTGGGACTGTCAAACTCAGCTTCAGTAATTTTGGCTTCAAGGCTAAAAGAAAGAAAATTGGTAACGGAAGAAACTAAAATTTCTTATTACCGCACAAGAGAACAGAATTTCGTATTTTGTAAAGATGTATCTGGATTGATGACTGCATTGGGATTACAAAATTATGTTTCTATATTTCTTTAGTGAGTGGCGTTTATTCATAGACTCGTGAAAACGGAGTCTAAAATGTGTTCTCTTGCACAATGGGAATAAATTAGGGTCGTTGTCTGTTGCACATTCTACAAAAGTAAAAGAAGAATATACAACTATTGCTCTGGTTTTGGACAAAATTAAAGATGTGGAAAATAACTGGATCATATGTGTTGATTTAAAAATGGTCAACTTAGGCCAGCAAGGTGGTTACACAAAGTATCCTTGTTTTCTTTGCTTGTGAGATAGTAGAGCTAAAAATCAACATTGGGTCAAAAAGGATTGGCCTACTCGGAAAGATCTAGTTCCAGGACAACAAAACGTGATAAACCCACCTTTAGTGTCAAGAGATCGTATAATTTTGCCTCCGTTGCATATAAAATTAGGGCTTATAAAGGTCTTAACAAAAATGGAAATTATTTTCTATTTCTATCAAAAAAAATCCCGAAACTGAGTGCAGTAAAGATAAAAGCGGGCATTTTCGATGGGCCACAGATAAGATCATTAATAAAAGACACAAAATTTACGGACACTGACAGAAATTGAGAAAAACGCATGGAATGAGTTTGTTTGGCTTGTTCAAAATTTTTTGGGAAATAAGGAAAGTTCTAACAACTAATGAGTCACTTTCAAACCCTTGGATATAACATGAGCATCAAGTTGCACTTTCTTCACTACCACCCAGATTATTTTCCCGCTAATCTTGATGATCTAAGTGAAGAACAGGGCGAGCCACAAAGCACGTATCTTCTAGAGACCCCACGCCAATGTTAAACTTTTAAACCAAATTGGCGCCACCTTGTGTTTGGAGCTGGAACTAAAATGACAATTGACAGATGGCGGTAAATTCAAATTGTAATTTTTAGGAGTAGGTAGTAGTTTGAAATTAAATTTTAAATGATTTCCACATAAATTATTTTATAAAATAAAGAATGGAACTAGCAAGTTCGAAACTTTTATTTTACAAAATAATTTAGGTCGATTATACCAAATTTGAGGAATTAATTTGTTATAAGCAGGGGTCTGATGTGAAGAGTTGGTTCTGCATATTATTATTAAATAAATATAAGATATATCAATAAACAATAAAATAGAACATTCTTAAAATATGTTTATTAATAACTTAAATAATATTATTATATAAAAATAAATACAAATAATAATACATATTTAACGAATACTTACTTGCAGCAAATAGGTATATAATCTCAAATCTTTAAAATACCTATCAATAATTTAAATGTGAAGTAGAGACTAGGATATTACATTTTATTAACACTAAAATAATATATTTTATAAATGTCTTTTAAACCGAGGACAAATGTAATATAGGTATTGTATTAAAAGGTGAATCCTTTTAACTATTCATTCAATGATAAATAGGTATTTTCCTTCCAAATACAGATGGTGGTATTACTCCACTGCTTTGTGTATTACTCTCTTATGTGAAAAATGATTTCGGAATCTAGTCCAGTGATAAATTGATTATCAATTAGTTGTTATACCCGTTTCTTTTTATGATGCAGATGCATGGTGAATCAATGAAGTTTTTCTCGAAGTTTTCAACGTAGCACCCACAGGTAGCACCAAAATTATTGCAAAACACAGTAGGTTATAACTAAGACGAAACTATAAACAGAAACCAAAAGCCAAAGCCAACAAAAAATCACTAAAATCAGACGGAAAAATGAGATTAACCAAAAACATAAATAAATACACGTCACATCTTTGGAGTCTTTGGTTAAGTTTTTCTCCCATAAAGCTTAAAAATGGAGTAAGAAATCAGAATTTTACCAGTAGCCCCATCTAGAGTTTGGAGCAAATAGTATAAAAAATGTCAATTGTCGGTTTTGACCTTGGTCATTCACGTGGAACCTCTATGTGCTTTGTGGGGCGAGCGATTCCACCAGGGTATCTATTCTTGAATCTCAGGGAGTAGAAATTTTGAGGGAAGAATGAGACAAAAATATAAATTTTGTTCGTTACAGATAAAGAGGTAAAACTGGTTTTCTATTCCCTCGAATTCAAGAATAGCTACCCAGGACCTTTGTACGATGGAGGAACGGTATCAAGGCTATTGGAACGCACACATGATGGCTGACTATTGTTGGAGCATTCAGAACAGTTCTATGCACAAAGCACATAGAGGTTCCACGTGAATGACCAAGGTCAAAACCGACAACTGACATTTTTTATGCTATTTGCTCCAAACTCTAGATGGGGCTACTGGTGAAATTATGATTTCTTACTCCATTTTTAAGCCTTATTGCCTTATGGGAGAAAAACTTAACCAAAGACTCCAAAGATGTGACGTGTATTTATTTATGTTCTTGGTTAGTTTCATTTTTCCGTCTGATTTTAGTGATTTTTTGTTGCTTTGGCTTTTGGTTTCTGTTTATAGTTTCGTCTTAGTTATTTGCAAAATTGTGATGTTTCGCTTTTTTATTTCCTACTGTGTTTTGCAATAATTTTGGTGCTACGTTGAAAACTTCGAGAAAAACTTCATTGATTCACCATATATTCACCATGCATCTGCATCATAAAAAGACAAACGGGGACAACAACTAATTGATAATCAATTTATCACTGGACTAGATTCCGAAATCATTTTTCACATAAGAGAGTAATACCACCATCTGTATTTGGAAGGAAAATACCTATTTATCATTGAATGAATAGTTAAAAGGATTCACCTTTTAATACAATACCTATATTACATTTGTCCTCAGTTAAAAAGACATTTATAAAATATATAACTTTAGTGTTAATAAAATGTAATATCCTAGTCTCTACTTCACATTTAAATTATTGATAGGTATTTTAAAGATTTGAGATTATATATCTATTTGCTCCAAGTAAGTATTCATTAAATATGTATTATTATTTGTATTTATTTTTATCTAATAATATTTATTTAAGTTATTAATAAACATATTTTAAGAATGTTCTATTTTATTATTTATTGATATATCTTATATTTATTTAATAAAAATATGCAGAACCAACTCTCCACATTAGACCCCTTATAACGAATTAATTCTTCAAATTTGGTATAATCGACCTAAATTATTTTGTAAAATAAAAGTTTCGAACTTACTAGTTCCATACTTTATTTTATAAAATAATTTATGTGGAAATCATTTAAAATTTAATTTAAAACTACTACCTACTCCTAAAAATTACAATTTGAATTTACCGCCATCTGTCAATTGTCATTTTAGTTCCAGCTCCAAACACAAGGTGGCGCTAATTTGGTTTAAAAGTTTAACATTGGCGTGGGGTCTCTAGAAGATACATGCTTTGTGGTTCTATGGGTTCAACCTTTGCAAGGAAGTCTTATAAAAGAAAGTTTTTTTCACCTTAAGAACTAAATAAAATATGATTAACTTTAAACAAATTGTGTTTTACTATGAAACGGCCATGTGTCATATTTTCTAAACTAGAGCTAATACAGAAATTTAGATTACAGATTTGAAGTCTTCATTAAAAATTAAGTTAGTGTCATGTAATATAACTCAATCAGCAGAAATAGAAATGCTGTTGTGCAGTGTAATTCAAGAATACAGTTTATTCTTACTTTTTTATTTATTTTTAATATAAAAATATTTTTATATTATAGTCCCAAGTGATACACATATTCATACGTTTCCAAAAAATTATTCTTTTTTTTTTTCACTAAAAAACTTCAATGTTTACGTAATATTTATATAATTGTAAATTACATACAATATACCTATACCTACTTACTTATTTCATAGATATATTTTTTTCAATAATTACTGTTATTGCAGATTATATAAATTAATAATTTTATTTTTTAATTATCTTTTATGATACGATACAGATGTTGATATAAATCTTGACCTTCCTCAACTAATAAATAACTTGTTTAGATCGAATTGAATAAATTTAGGAGACCTAGTTGTTGTTCTTAATTATGTTTTCCTTTTTCTTTCAGACATTTGTTTATATTTTTTCAAATCAAAATTATTATATTATTATTCTTATTGAATACATATAAAACAATAAATTAATACAAACAATATTAACGAAAATACCGTAAATATTTTTGGGAGTTAATTTAAACAAACAAAATAATTATTTCTAATGATCAAAACTTTATAGTAAAAAATATTCATAAATATTCATGTTACCTAAATACAATAATATTACTAGATGTTTTTGACACTGAAGTAGAATATTCACCTTCACATTTTTTGAACTCATTTTGTTTACGAGGAGCTCTTCTAAAGTTCTATTTGCGGAATCGAGTAGGTACTCCTTACAATTGTCATTTTCGAAAATTTTGATGTTTTTAACCTACAATTTTGTTGACAGTTCGGTCTAATATGTTTTTACCATCACACTCCGAAGACAATCAAGTTCTTTCGTTAAAAACAAATAAATTAAAATCAAATAAGTCTTCTTTAAGAGAATGCTCATATTGTAAAGAAAAGAAAAAATGGTACAAGGGTCACTCAATACAGTACTGCAGGAATAAGAAAAAAAGGTGAACAAGAAATCGCTCGACTTGTTGAGGAATCTGAGGAAGAGGCGAAATTGCATTTCCAGCATTTCAATCACTTAACTTAGGAAATGAGTGCATTTTGGACACTGGTGTCACAACACATATGTCTGGAAATAAAAATGCTTTTACTTATCTACGTCCTTATTCAGAATATATCCGACTAGGAAACGACAAAAAGATTCAGGCTACTCATATAGGCAATGTCCGGTTAAATGCATTGTTGCCAAACAGATCTTCAGTAAGAGTAGTTCTTCATAATGTGTTGTTTTCTCCAGATTTAAAATGTGAAGAGTGTCTGCCTTCAACTTCTCAACTCAGACGCAGCAATAGAGTTGTAAAGCCTCCATCCCGCTATGGTGATAAAAGTTGCAAAATTGCTATAGATGAACCTGCCAATTATAATGAAGCAATTTCTTCACCAGAATCTGAAAAATGGATTAAGGCCATAAATGAAGAATTGGAGTCCATGCAGGAGCATTAAGTTTGGAACATAGTCGACTTACCAGAAGGAAAGAAAGTAGTCGGTTATCGCTGGATCTTCAAAATAAAATTATCTGAAGAAGGGAAAATTTGTAGATATAAAGCTCGACTTGTAGCTCAAGGCTATACTCAAATACATGGAGTGGATTATGATGAAACATTTTCGCCAGTGATACAATGTATAACAATTAGAATTCTTCTGGCCCATTGCATTCACAAAAACTTAGTAGTCAGACAATATGACATTAAAACCGCCTTTCTATATGGGCCTATTGATTTTGAAGTTTATATGAAGATTCCAGAAGGTGTAAAATCAGAACCAGGGAGAGCATGTTTCCTGCAAAAGAGCATATACGGATTAAAACAAGCACCTAGGCAGTGGAACTCCATTTTGGTCAGGAATATAAAGGAAATTGATCTTATCCAGTCAAGCGCAGACTCATGTCTATTTATCTCTAAAGATAAAGAGCAAATAATAGTTATTTATGTCGATGATATTCTAGTTCTTGGAACTACCCAGAGTTGGGTCGAATACTGAAATCCGGTATTCGAATACGAATCCTGAATACTGTATTCTAAATTGTATTCGAATAATCAATATTCGAATACAAAGAAAAAAAAGTATTTGAATACCGCTGTATTCGAATACTTGGATTCATTTACATATGAATACTTTATGAATATTCCAACTACAAATAACATATGCGCACATAAAGCTTGATTATTATTTATGTAGTTAATTTATAAAAATATAAAAAGAATTAAAAATCTATGTTAAATAAAACTAGAATCATCATTTTTTGATACACAGTGTCACAGTGAGGTTAAATAAAATAACTGTTTAATAAAATACATTTGTTAATTTTTATTTCTTAAAGTTTTATTAAAAAATTATAAATAAAACGATAAAATAATGAAAAAGTTAAAATAAAATTCTTTGGTACACCGTCAGATAAAAACACAAACCTATTGTTTGATAAAAAATAAACAATTCGCATTACCTATAACCTATACCCTACAACCACTTACTTATACAGGGTGTCCCACGAGATACGCCTCTTACCATAACTCCATAACGGTGCAATTTTCGAAAACTAATTTTAAAAGATGGCTTTTTTTTAATATACATAAAAAAGGACCCTTACAAAATTTTTTAAAATTGCACCGTTATGAAGTTATGGTCCGAGGCGTATCTCGTGGGACACCCTGTATAATAAATAAAACTTAAAATACATTCATTGGAGATTGGAACACAGTAAGGTAACACAATAGAATTACTTAGCAAAAGAAGCTATCCTTGAAAAATAATCTTGTTCTTGAATACCGGGATTCGAATACCGGGATTCGAATACCGGGATTCGAATACAAAGTGGGTATTCGAATACTAGGATTCAAAAATGGTATTCTGAATCCAAAATACCGAGTACTGACTAAAAAAGTATTCAGTCGAATACCGAATAAAGAAAACACAAATGTATTCGAATAGTATTCGAATACCAGCCAAATGTATTCTGAATAAGATTCAGAATACCGGGTATTCGAATACTACCCAACTCTGGAACTACCATAGAGAAAGTACAAGCTATAGAAGATATTTTAGTGAAAAATTTTAAAGTTACATTTCTTGGTATACCCAAATATTTATTATCTTTACAAATAGAATGGGAAAAAGATTATATGCTTGAAAAACATGATATGTTGAACTGCAATCCTGTGTGTACGCCTATGGATACTGGCTCTAAACCAGTAAAAGCAATCTCTACTGATAAAAGAACTGATAAACAACTTTATCAATCAAAGATAGGAAGTCTTCTATATCTTGCGATGGCAACCAGACCAGATATAAGATAATACTGTTAACGTTCTTTCCCAATTCTGCGTTGATCCGACTGAAACCCATTCGCGTTTCGTTCATCATCTATTCCGATACCTCAAAGGAACAACCAAAGAAAAACTAATTTATAGAGCTACAGGATGTCCTTCTCTTAGAATGTATAGTGATGCTTCATATGCAAGTTGCCCAGATGATCGAAAATCATACAGTGTAGATACATTAGCCTTTTTGGAAATGCTGTAATTTGCTGGTGTACGAAAAAACAAAATTCTGTTGCAGTCTCAACTACTGAATCTGAATATAAGGCGTTATCAGCAGCTTGTAGACAAGAGATATGGATGACCTACATAATTAAAGAATTACAAGAAAGTTTGAATGTAGAAATATTGTGTGACAATCAAGCAAGTATTAAGTTGTCACAAAATCCCATCTTACACCAACGAAGTAAACATATTGACGTACACTATCATTTTGTAAGAAAAAAGTATTTCAGAAAATGATAGATATTGACTATATACCTTCCAAAGAAAATCTAGCAGACTTACTGACTAAGGCATTAGGAAAAATTCAGTTTGAATACCTGCGCTCAAAATATATGTTAAATACGCAATGAGGAAGAGTGTTGAGATCTACATTGCTTTATATTATACAGGGTGATTCACATAAGAACCGACATAGAGCAGGGACATATAGGGGGTCCCAAAATATGGCAATTTAACGCAACTTACCTCTATACCAAGTTGCTTCCCTAAGGAGTTATAGGCTTTGAAAGTGAAGTTATAAATTTTGAAAAAAAATCAATATCTCCGTTATTCTTGAACTTAAAGCAACCAAATTTGGTACACTTTGTGGATGTATTTAGGGCGTTACTTGACAGTAACTAGAGTTTAATTGAAATTTGTAAAGGGGGTATACTGGGTGGCGCACCATTAATATTCAACAGAATTTTGTTAACCCTTGATGGATTTTAAAAATCTTTGCTTTGTTTTGTGGGCAATTCAATTCTTAAACTTTTCTTACTCTAGTAATTTTTCTAAAAAACTCATCATTTTCATCAAAAACTCGAATAACTTAAAACGCGCGCTCTAGGTGTGTTATTTAAAATCATCGAAAATTCAAAAGTTGGCTATGAAAATAAACGTCAAACTTGACAATGAAGCAAGTAAGTTGTTCAATTAAGTAATTGTTGTTTGAGTGTTTTTAAAATGAACGGGAAGTTTTCTTCTAACGAGCAAGTTGACATGCTGTTAGTGCTAGGTTTTTGTGAAGGAAACTGTAGAAGAAGTGTAGAAAAATATCGTAGAAGATTTCCTAACCGTATCATTCCCCATAGAGAAACATTTTCTAATGTTGAAAGACGAGCTAGAGAAACGGGCAAGTTTCTCAATAATACTCGAGAACGTGCTGTCGCACTCAGGCCACAAGTTGAGGTAGCCATTTTAAATGCTATTCAAGATGATCCACATATTAGTACTAGGAATTTATCTCGACAAATTGGTATATCGCAGAGTTCTGTGCATCGAGTTATCCGTCGCAATCTACTACACCCTTATCATGTACAAAAAGTCCAAGAACTTTTACCCGGAGATTTGGTTCAACGTGTCAATTTTTGTCAGTTTATTCTACACCAAGATAATAACTTCCAAAAGAAAATTCTTTTTACGGATGAGGCGACTCGCAGAGGTATCACAAATCTCCATAACTATCATGAGTATTCTGACGTAAACCCACATGCAATAACTCCTCGGCATTTCCAACGTGAATTCAAAATTAATGTTTGGATGGGAATTATTGATCGATATTTAATTGGTCCTGTTGTTTTACCGAATCGGCTGAATGGTGAAAATTATTTAGAATTTCTACAAAACACCCTTCCGTATCTACTTGACGAGGTACCTTTACAACTAAGGTTGCAACATTGGTTTATGCACGATGGAGCACCGCCTCATTTTAGTATGAACGTAAGAAATTTTTTAAACCACCAGTATCCCAATAGATGGATAGGAAGAGGAAATAATTGCCCACAACGTTGGCCCCCAAGATCACCTGACCTGAACAAATGTGACTTCTTTCTGTGGGGAACGTTGAAAGAATTTGTGTATTCTTCGCCCGTTGCGTCTCAAGAAGAATTATGGAATCGCATTATTCATAAATGCACATCTATTAGGAATAATCAACAGTTATTAGATAGGGTGGATTTTAATTTTCGAAGAAGAATAAATTTATGCGTAAGAGAAAACGGCGATCATTTTGAACAATTTCTTTAATTTATCGATAAACAATTGTTTGTTCTGGTTGTTGTTTAAGTTTTTTGTGTTTATTTTGGTTAGTTGTTAATCCCAGTTTTTCACATTTCAGTATCTGTACTTACTTTAAGTTATTTTGTTACGTATCTAAATAATAATTTGCCAGCCAATTCCTACTGATCACATTAAATGACCTACTTTCTTGTTTGACGTTTATTTTCATAGCCAACTTTTGAATTTTCGCTGATTTTAAATAACACACCTAGAGCGCGCGTTTTAAGTTATTCGAGTTTTTGATGAAAATGATGAGTTTTTTCGAAAAATTACTAGAGTAAGAAAAGTTTAAAAATTGAATTGCCCACAAAACAAAGCAAAGATTTTTAAAATCCATCAAGGGTTAACAAAATTCTGTTGAATATTAATGGTGCGCCACCCAGTATACCCCCTTTACAAATTTCAATTAAACTCTAGTTACTGTCAAGTAACGCCCTAAATACATCCACAAAGTGTACCAAATTTGGTTGCTTTAAGTTCAAGAATAACGGAGATATTGATTTTTTTCAAAATTTATAACTTCACTTTCAAAGCCTATAACTCCTTAGGGAAGCAACTTGGTATAGAGGTAAGTTGCGTTAAATTGCCATATTTTGGGACCCCCTATATGCCCCTGCTCTATGTCGGTTCTTATGTGAATCACCCTGTATAGTTCACTTATTTCTATATCATTATGACTTTGAAATTATTATTGTCACATTTGACGAACAAAGATTTTGCTAAAGTCATATCAAATTTTAATTTTCTTTGGATATTTTTATATATCTGGCTAAAATACTTTCATCAAAATGGTGCCTTGATTTTTACAGGTTTTTTTATTGTAGTGCTGTTATTTTGTTGTATTGTTTCGAGAAACATAACCTTTTAATTGTGACCAGATCAGTTCAATGGGATTTAACTCTGCGTGGTAAGGAGGCAATCTAAAAATTTCAATTCCTTTTTCTCGGGCCATCTCGTATATAATATATAAATAAATTCTGACTTATCTGTCAAAAGAAAAGGTTTATTACAGCAAAAACTTTTATTAGGCAGATCAGATGTATTAAAATTTTCATTTTGAACCTTTACTGCGTTCTGCAAATTAAAGTACTGCACTCCTTTCATTTATAGACTATAGTTAGTACATTTAAAGAGTGTTTTATATTTGTTATTTATTAGTAGGTTTGTTATAATAATCTGATAAGTAATTATTTATCTAGAAGC